CGTTTTGTGTGAGCGCGAGCCGCGAGGGTTGCTTTGGCACCAGGGTGCTGGGGAGAGCCTGCCAGCTTCGGGAGACGGCTGCTCGGGAGTGACATTAAAATGCCCTTTCTGTGGTGCCGCTGTGCCTCACTCTGAGCTGAAGGCTCTGGCCCTGTGGAGTTGCAAGCCCAGGAAACCCCCTGAGCCCCACCCTCCAGCCCCCTACCCTACCTCCCTGCCTTCCTGTCTCTCAGAATAAAGGAGGAAACAAAGGAGAGGAGAAGGGAGGGCCAGAGAACAGAGGAGGCCACAGAGAAGGCTCTGGAACAAGCTCCCCTGTGCCTGGAAGCCCTTGCCTGCTCCCGGCTGTGCCGGGGTGTGCTGCCAGCCCCACCCCTTAGAGCCCCCTGACCATGCTACCCAGACAACTGGCAGGGCTCTGGGGAGGCTCCGCGTGGCACCCTCCTCTGGGAGAGAACTTTTCTTGCCCAGGGAAAGGCAAGGCTGGGGGTGGCGGCCGTGCACTGTGGATGGAAGATGCACACACACGTGCACACACACACACAGACGAGCCCACGCACGTGCGGAGAGCCCAGCAGGTCCCGACTTGCAGCAAGCTGCCCTGTGCCTGCACCCAGCTGAGACTGTGGGCAAAGGGACGGCTGGTTCTAGGTGGCCCTGGAGGTGGCTGCCCTGGGAGCCTGCAGCCTCAAGGGCCTTCCCGGTCCCAGGCAATCCGAGCCTCCATCCTTGGACCACACGATGCCTTCCTTCTAGGTCTTCTGGTTGTCTTCTTAGAGATCCCCCAGATGGGATCAGTCAGAAACTTTCGGTTCCGCTTCATTGAGAAGCTTGGTCTCAGCGATGGTGGTGTCTGCCCCTCCACGCCAAAGGTGCTGGCCATGGAAACAGCGCTCCCTGCACCCTCAGGTCCTAGAGCCAGGGCCCCGAGGCTGACTTCAGGACCTCGGCCAGCTCCCCAACCAGGGAAGAATCTTCAGGACCAGGCAGGGAGCCCGGGCAGAGAAACAAGGTGCTTGACTGTGGCTCCCCAGAGGCTGCTGTGTCTGAGGCTGGACCACGGCCCCAGGGTGAAGGGGCCCTCACCTGGCCAGTAGGCCTCTCCCACCCTGAGTTTCGGCCCTCCTTTCCCTGGCTGGCCTCTGAAGTTCGGCTTTCAGAATCACCAGAGGCCGGTTCTAGCTGTGTTCTAGCTGTGGTGGGAGTTAGAGCCGAGGCGCACTGCTGACATCATCCCAATCACTTGGAGTCCATGACACTGGGAGGGTGGCTGGCTTGGCGACCAGCTCCTGAGACCCTGCCACTCTGGCCCTGCCTGGGTGGTCCCCACTGGGCTGAGCCAGGTGCCTCTCACCTTTAATGGTGACCTCCAAAGGGGAGCTTAGGATCGAGAATGGGTGTGGGCATAGGGTGGGACCGCCCTGGATCTGAGAGCTTTGGGGGACATCCGCCAACAAATTCCACTTTCTTGATCCCGAAGTGATTTATTGCCAGTGTCTTGAGCATTTGGGAACAAGTAGAATGCCTCTGAGCTTCAAAAACAGTGGCCGAGCTGCAGCTGTCTGGGCAAACTGCTTCCGTGGCCACAGGCTCATCTCAGGCCCCCCTAGGGGTGTGGCACCGTGCCAGGGCCACCCAGCTTGTGGGTGGGCATGCATGGCGGTGCAGCGTGTCAAAGCATCGGGTTTCACCTGTGTGAGACGAACGCCGCTGAGAGGTGGAGCAGCCGGGCGGGGGCACAGCACGTGGCAGGGCCAGCCGCTCCGATGGCTCCATGGGGCGCTCAGTGGGATGCCAGCCACGGACTGACAGCCAGCTTCGCACAAGCCGCAGGCGGAAAGGCGTTTCTGTGGCCTTGCTCCATGACTTCCAGTGACAGGCTGGCACCTCCTGCCCCCTGAGAAGCTTGTACCAGCTTCCCAGCCCAGGACTGGATGTGAGAGAGGCAGAGTCTCAGGTGCTTTGCAGCATGACCTCGGCCCAGGCCAATTCCTACCTGTCCCATCAGCCTCTGGCTGAGTGACCCGAACCTCTCTGAGCCTGAACTTCCTTTAAAGCAAGAAGGGCCAGACCAGAGCATCTACACTGGCCCCTGAGCATCCCCTCTGGTCTCTCGCTCACTCGCTCCTTTCCCCTCCGCCAGACCTGGGCCCACGGTGCGGAGCCCTGCCTAGCCGCCGACATGGGGGAGCATGCTTTGTGGAAGACCGGCCGTGTCCTTTGTCTGAGAGGCTCCGAGTGCTCTGGATGGGTGGGAGGGAGCCGTCTTGAGCCGGAGGAAGCCTTGGAGCAGGGCTGACATTCAAGCAGGGCCCCTAGGTTGCATCCAGGCTTCCCAGGGAGCCCAGGGCAGGAAGACAGGCTAAAGAAGGACTGAAGTGGGGGCTGCAGACGGAAGGGCCCCGAGCCCGGACTCTCATACCCAGTGCTCAGCGGGCACAGGTTGAAGACATTCGATTTATTTTAGGATGGAAGCAGAGCCTGGTGTCAGCCACGCACTCCTCAGGTGGGGCTGGCCCTTGGACCAGCTGGTGTCCCTGGGCATGCTGGTGAGGCTCAGCTGTAAAACGAGAACCCTCTGGAGCACCAGCTGTCTCAGGTCGGACTGAGTGACTGTGGATGCTGGGTCCTGGCCCGCGTGGAAAGGCAGACGAACCCTGGGCTACCCTGGGAGGTATGGGTCAGTGCACTCCCAGCTAAGAGCAGACTCGGGCCTTCAGAAGCCCAGCGGGACCGTCCCTCGGAATCTCCTCCCAGCCTCATGTTTAGCGCACTCTCCACCCCTGCCCTGAACAAGCTGAACGGGAAAAAAGCAGCCGAAAGTCATGACCTGCCGGAGAAGACGCTTTGCCCGGCAGTCACACTGGCTGTCCGTCCACCTCCCCAGCCCAGCTACCTCGCACACACCTGCCTGGGGCAGCTGAGAGGTGGGGCAGGGGCGGGCAGACGCAGGCCTTTTCAAGCAGTTATTTCAGAACACGTGAGTGTGGTCAGTCATGGCACGGAAGTCGGCCACTAGTGACACACACACCCAGACCAGGAAAGGGGAACGCCTATTCCCTGGGTGGGGACGCCCCGTGACACAGGGTGGGTGGCGTGAAGCAGGAAATTCCCCCACGTGCAGCTGCTTCATCCCCTAAAGTAACTTGCTCCCCATCCCACCGACTCCAACCTTTCTCGATCAAAACAAAGGTGATTTCCTGCCCCGGGCTGTACTTCCTACTGCAGTTATCAGGCCCTGGAATCGGTACCAACATCAGCGTGGAAAGTAATACGAAGCTAATTACCAGCTCCACTGGATTACGTCCACGGCAGGCGGTACCGAGCTGACAGGGAGAGGAGCCAGTTTTCAGCTCGGAAAAATGCGGTGGCTGCTGCTCACACGCCGAGACCAAAGGCCACCGGCCGCCCGCGTGAGCAGGGCCGCTGCGGTCACCAAGGCCAGCATCCTGACAAGCATTACGGGGGATGAGACAGGACGAGGACATCGGAAGCGAGTGCGTCCCTCTTCGGGTGGCAGCACGTGAGCACCTGACCAGGAGCTGGAGCCCTGGGAACGCGGCCAACGCGAAGCTCCTGTGTGTGCGCCTGTGACCACCTCCACGTGGGGCCTTAACCTCACCATGCCACAGCAGCCCCAGCAGCCCGGAGTGCTGCCCTCATCCCCGAAATGAGGACGCTGAGGCTGGGAGAGGACAAGTGAGTGACCACCCTGGGCGGTGCCGTCTGTCTGACCTGAAACCGAGCTGTGCACTCGCTCCGACAGTGGACAGTGGGAGGTCACACAGAGACAACGGCCCGACACGCCAATGCCGAGAGAGGCAGTGTGGGGCCTCTGCCGGGCCCGGGGCCTCTCCACGCTGCGTGGGCCTGAACTGTGCTCTCCCGCCGTGTGGCCGGTGTCTGGCAGCTGCAGCCTTGAACACTGGCTTTCCAAGGGGGAGCAACAGGGCCAGCAGACGGGTGCTTGGTGGGGATCAGAACACCCAGGCCAAAGCCCCCCGCCTACCACTGAGAACTAATGACCCCAGGCCTGTCCTCTTCCAGGGCCCTCCGGGGCTCCCTCAGGCACAGGACAGGGGCTCTGCAGGAGTCCAGGCCCACCTCACTTGGCGACTTGAGCCCAAGAAGTGAGAAGCAGGGTGTGGACAAGGGGCGGGGGAGGCCAGCCGCTCCTACAATCTCTGGAGGGTCTGACCCGCCTCCGCGCCTGGGTG